CAAGCTACAATCCAGTATTGATTAAAAGACACGATCAGTGTAGCAGCTTGCCGTTTTCAGAATTAATAATTGATTATGCCCACTCTGGCGCCTAATTGAAGAAAAATGAAATTGAGTTTCGGAGACAACTATCGCGCAATAAGATTGCAATCGCTTAGGATAGCGCGTCAATTTTTTTTTCTGGCGCCGATGTACCTTTTTGTAAATGCGCTTTTGGGATGACCACTCGTAGGACTGTCCATAGTCCATCCTTCTTTCTGAAGCAATTGATAGTTGTTCTTACCGTATCCAACTAAATGTTCTTGCGACTTATAGTTGACTGGCTCATATTATGCACCTCATTGAAGCTGTCACGCTTTGAAAATAGAGCGTCGTTAGATATTAGTTACAAGCTGGAGATTACAAAAAAGGTTTTGGCAGCCCGTCCACGCGAGCGGTTTGTTAGCAATGGAGCATGCTTTCCAATTGTTCTATTGCTAATGAGTACTCAAAAATGTTCCTATAATATTATGTCAATTGTTACTTTATTATTCTCTTAAACTAAAGAATTATTTATTATTTTTCGTTCCAAACTGAAAGCGCACAGCATTGTTTCGCATTGATCCGAATTATATTGTGCATTGCCGTCATTTTAAGTGTTAGGCTGGGCCGTAGACGCACACATTTTCTGCAAGCGTTTCGATTGTTTTCAAAATGCTTTTTTGAGGCTAAATGGCGTTTTTAACTGTGTTTTCGATGTTTCTTCATGTTGAAATCGACCTTAGTCGATGTGCCTGTTTTGACTATATCATATCTCAATTATCGTTCACGGGTGCATTCGTTTATATGCAGTGATCTGATTAATAATTAGTCAAAAGGCTGTTTTTTATTGTAATTAACAACAAAGACTCCATTTCTTACCTTCTTCATTACCGACTAGCAGCATCATTGTGCCGTAGTTTGGGGTCCCTCATAGTTACACATTTTTCCTCCTTTCTTTCGTGCATCTGAAAATCTTCCTTAAAAGTTTCTTGTTGAGGACAAGCAAAATGGTAGAAGAGGATGACGGCATGGAAGCGTTCGATTTCGACGAGCGCGATCTTGAATTCGCATTGAATCCTGGTGGTCGACGACATTTCCAAACCAAGAACCAAGCAACATATGGTGGGGTGAGACCACCTCTTTTGTGTTCTTCGGCTACAGTTGTGAAGATTTTTTCCACGTTTTTCCTCAAAATTGATATTGTCCTAATCTTTCCTTCTTTTCTGCCGCTTCGGAGTTGTTCTGGAGTTGATTTGAATGTGTTTAGGTATCTGGGCCGACAAGGAGGAAAGTGATGAAGAGGATGCCTATGCCAGACCATCGTTCGGGTAAGTTAATTTTTCAAGCTTAATTTTTGTTTTTAGCAAGTTTCTGAGGTTTGAAAGCTCAAGATAATGCAAACTATGACTTTTTGGTTTTCACTAACGATTAGTATATGAGGAGACGGGAAGAGTAACTAGCGTTATGTTGGGAATGTAGTTCCACTTCTTACTTCCTCACAGAAAACGCTTTATTTTTAGTAAAAAGGCGAAAAAGGACTATACAGCACCC